TATTTTATAATACTCTAGGTTTTTGCACATATGTGCTAGTCGTTCCTGACTCTAGGGGGCGGTGCTCATCTCTGTTTCAAAGCTGAAGAGCCAGCACTGTCCGAAGACGTCTCCGTGGTCATGTGGCCAGCATGACTAGACAGAACACTGTTCCCTTACCACCAAAGGTGGTCCCAATTTTTCTATTTGCATTTTTATGTGCTTTTGAACTGCTAGGTTGGCAGAAGCTGGAACAAGTAATGGGAGCTCACTCCGTTACATGGCACTAGGGATTCGAACCGCTGAACTGGCGACCTTCTGATCGACAAGCTCAGCATCTTAGCCACGGAGCCACCATGTCCCTTTTTTATCCTTGTGTTTATGGTACTTGCCTGAAATTTCTTTAATTGTTCTTGTGAACATTACAACTTGGTCACACCTCCAGTGCTACCAATCTAGATGAATGCGCTATATAATGTATTAATATTTCAGGATATCTAGACAAAGTTTTTTTCTGCCGAGAAAAGTATAAAAGAGACAAACGGTGCAGCTGTCTGTACAGATCGTGGTTTATCACTTACAGGTTTCTGAACCACCCATAGCCTGTAGCCTCGCCTCAGAAGTCATTATGACTGTGCTGCTGAAATTAGCATTATTGAAGTTACTCCCAAATTTGGTGGTTCGAGAAGTAAAAAGAAATGGCTTCCTGTATTTACCTTTTCCTTGTGTTTTAAAAATATTTTAAGGGACTGGAATTATTTTTGACTACGGTCACCGCCTCCTGCACCTCAAAATTAATAAGACATCCCCGAAAATAAGGCCAAGTGCTTATTCCGGGGGGGGATAGGACCCTGTCTTATATTTGGGAAAACATGGTATCTGAGCATTTTAAAATACACAAATACTTTGAAGCTTGGGTTGGGGGTAGGACCATGATGGCGAAATTATGGCACATGTGCCACAGGTGACACCCAGAGCCCTCTCTGCCGGCACGCAAGCTGTTGCTCCAGCTCAGCTCTACCACCCATGCGCTCACGCCTCCCACCAACCAGCTTATTTTCGGATCTCTGTCATGCATGCACAGGGGGAGTCAAGTGTGCATGTGCAGGGGATGGGGATTGCAGTGCCCCCCCCCCCGCGGCCCATTTTTGCTACCAAACCCAAAATGAGGCAGAGGGGAGTCACACACGCATGCATGGGGGAAGGGAGAGCGTGGGGGGGTCATGTGCACATGCACAGAAGATGAGGCGCACAGGTGGGGCACACACACATTGCATTATGGATGCACTTTTGTTTTTTTAAATATTTATTGAATGTTTTAATCTTTAAAAACAGTAAAGAAGACACAACAACAAAACAAAACACAGAACATACATAACAATATACAGTTTTACAGCTTTCTATATGAGATTTCCTGCTTAGCTTTTATAGTTTTCTCTTCTGCATTGCCTTCCTATTGCTTTAACCTTGTCCTATAATGTAGCAAACGTAGTATTAACACTTATAATAATATTCATTATTGTATCACCATATATTTATATTCCCTATTTTCTGTTTTGGCTTCTGATTTCTAGCCACTTATAAATTTTATTCAATACTTTATAGAAGTCCGATTCTTCTCTTTCTTTTAGTTCTATTGTCATTTTATCCATTTCTGCGCATTTGAGTATTTTCCTGATTATAGTTTCATCTGAGGGTATATTGATTTTTTTGTGCGAAAGCAATCCTGGC